TACCGGCCTGGACTGGCCTACCCCGAATACAACACAGGCCTGTGAGAACAGGCCAAGGGGCTGGTCTCACAGGCCAACCCGAGGTCCGCTACAAAGTACCTACCGGATCTAGTGCTTGGTGATCAAGGTGCCTTTGTACAGGGGTGCTCTATCTTCAACAACATCATCATGGCGATAGAAGTGCTGGAGGTCGTACAGTCCGAGAACATAGATATGGCGGTCCTACTCATTGATCTAGAGAAGGCATATGACAAGGTTGGCTGGACTTTCGTCATGACAACTCTTCGAAGGATGGGTTTCGGCAGGGGGTTTTGCAACTGGGTAATTGGCATGTATACAACAGCCACGTGAGCAGTCATGATCAATGGATACTTGTCTGCCCCTTTCCGGCTATCTCGATCTCTCAGACAAGGTTGCCCCCTTGCTCCACTCCTGTTCGTTCTACAAATGGAAGTGCTCTTGAACAAGATACGAAGACACCCTCAGATAAAAGGCATCCAACTACACAGCGGAGCAGAATGTAAGGTGAAGGCGGTTGCGGATGACCTGTTCGCTGTGTGTGAGAACTCAGAGCAATCTATGTCAGCAATGAAAGGGATAATGGCAGAGTACTCGATCTTGTCGGAAGCGTCTGTCAATTGGAACAAATCTACTGACCTCTTGCCAAAGAGCTATAAGTTGAAGGTGGAGTGGGGGATGAAAAGAGTGGAAGAGGGGGAGGAAGAGCGCTTCTTAGGAGTTCTGATCAGTCTACAAGTGGAATCCACGACACAGGGTTTGCTACTGCAGCACAGAATTGTTGCAAGGCTGCAACTGTGGGGAACAACATGGCATCTTTCTATTATAGGACGCGCGCTTGTCTCCAACGCAGCCCTTCTCTCCATTCTCTGGATTGTCTCTGCAGTACGGGAGTTGGCTGAAGGGGTACTCACTGCAATCCGTCGGCTAGTGGCGAGGTTTCTATGGAAACCAACAGCCAAGCAGACTGAAGGTTTCCTGGTCAAGATCGCATGGGAAACACTTACTTTCCCCCGTGAGCAGGGGGGACTGGGTCTCCTTGATCCGACAAGAAGGAATCAAGCCCAGCTGAAGTCCTGGCTATGCAAAGTGGCCACGTCAAACTCCAAGGAGCACTGGGTAGAACTGGCCGAAAGAATCCTGATGCTGGAGTGGGACCTAAATAGACCCTACCCTCCCTCCCTTTACAGCCTACTGCAGCCGTCGACTGGAACCGAGTGCCCTGGTTCACCCACCAACTGCTCTATCCCACACTACCTATCCCACCAGAGGGAGAACCTTAACTGGTTGTCTACAGTGACTTGCAGCACTGCAGCATTCTGGCCCCAGGTTTCTTTGAACCACTGTGTGCCTGATCTGTCCCTGCCCCTGTCCGCCTTCCTTCTCCAATCTGCCAGCGCCTCGTTTCTCTGCTGCATTCTGAAGAGCTTCTCCGCCTTCGCCTCTGGAAGACAGTTCCCCTTGAATCTGACTTCGTTGCGGTTAGCCCAAATCACCCATAGTAGTGCTGCTCTTCCAACCTGCGCCACATACCCCCAACCCCTGTCGATTCTAGTTCCCACTGGCAGCGTGCCCAGAATGGCCCACCTTTCTCCTGTCAAGTCCCTCCTTCCTGACCACAACATCCAATGTGCAATCCACCACTCCCACCATCTGCTGGATTTGGTGCAGGCCCACCAGAGGTGGTGCATTGTTTCAAAGGGCCAATTGCACCTATCACAAGCCTCCTTAACCAACATTCCCCGTTTCCTCAGCCACCTCGCTGTTGGAACTGCCTGGTGCGATTGCAGCCATAGCAAGGATGCTAGTTTCTGAGACGGGATCAATGTGAGCTGTTCCCAGAGCTTTTGCCGCTCATTGGTACTCGGGGGTTCCAAATGAGGCAGTGAGGTCTCCCATTTCTTCTTCAAATCCTCCCCTTTCTCGTTTTCTCTGGCTTGAGCCTTCCGTTGGAGCGCTGTTGTGCAGCTTTTTAGATTCCAAATCACCTATGCTCCATCTTTCCAGCCCCACCTCTCAGAAACCAGTCGTCGTACTGCGTATGCTGAACCATTTGCCACCAGATCCCACTTGTCCGGACCTGTTTTCTGCCGCTTCTTGACTGGGACTACTCTTATTTCCTCCAAAGTACTGACCCCATAGCTAGTGCAGGACCCCAGCTCTCTTGTACCAGGTTCCTACTGGTGGTATGTAGTCCGGCCCCAACAGTCTCTTCCAGGCTTCGGGGATGGCCTGAATCAGGTCAGCTAACCGCTCCTCTTGCTTCGGGAGCCTGCCCAGCTTCTCTCTCAGTCTATCCCCGCTGATCCACTGCCCTGTTCCTTCTTCCCAGATGTCCCCAACCAGGGAAACCCCTCGCTGGGTCCACTTCATGCCATAAGCGCCTGCTCTTGTACTTGCTTTGAAGGTGTTTCCTTCTTTGTCTAGCAAAAGTGGGTTTTCAAACAGATGTTGCTGAAGGGCTTCCGACCTGGTTCTTGGTACTGCCACCTGGTCTGGTCTGCATTTCTGCCAGGCCCGAATAATATCCTTCCAGAACTTCGACTTGACGCGCTTAACTAGGAAGGCTTGGATCATCATGGCGACCCAGACGTTGCCCGATCTCGAAAGTTCCCACTGTTCTGCCAAAATTTCCTCTGCCAAAAAACACCTGTCAGCTCCCTGGTCTGCCGCTCCCACCTTCGCAATCCGTTTCGACAGTAGGCCCAGATTCTGTGTTTCTGGGTCTAGCAAGCCCAGCCCCCTTTTCTCCTTTGGCATGCGCTGAACCCCAACTCTTGATCCTACCTGTAACTTTCTCCTTCGAGATCAAGGATTGGGATTCTGAGCTGTCTCCTAGTGCCAATTGAACCCCCAGATATCTCTCCGCTTCGCCCTCTTGGACCCTGTGCATACCCCATTCAACCTTCAGTTGGTAATCCTTCAGTAGGTAGTAAATGGACTTGTTCCAGTTGACGGCAGCTTCTGATAAGTCAGCATAACGTAACGGGCACTGCTTTAGAGCTTCTAGCGGGTCTACTGTATTAGCTGACAGGGCTAGTAGGTCATCTGCAAGCGCCTTAACCCTGCACTCTTTGCCGCTCTTAAGTCGCAAACCTTCCAGCAGAGGATGTACTCTGATGTCATGCAGCAGAACGTCTAGCTGGAGAACGAAGAGCAGGGGGGCCAAAAGGCATCCCTGCCTCAGCGAACGTGATAAATTGAACTCTTCTGAGTGGTAACCATTTACTTGCACGACTGCTGATGAGAACAAGTACAGAACTCTGACCCAACTGCAGAATGCTTCCCCAAAGTTCATTGCTTTCAATGTCGTGAGAACAAACGCCCAATTGACTCTGTCATAGGCCTTTTCCAAATCCAACCTTAGGACTGCCACCTCCTCATTCTTCCCATCAATTACCTCTAGCAACTCAATGGCTGTAGCCAGATTGTCCATAATTGACCTGCCCCTGACGAACGCACCTTGGTCCAGCCCCACCAGACCTGGTAGGTGGATTGCCAGCCTGTTGGCCAGCATCTTTGCCAACACCTTGTATGAGAGGTTAAGGAGTGAAATTGGCCTCCAATTTCTGATTTCACTCCTGTCCCCCTTTTTGTACAACAGCGTGATGATGCCTTTAGCTATGGACTTGCCCAGCTTTCCACCTTCTGGAATTTCATTATAGACCGCCACTAGGTCCTCTACGAGCATGCTCCAACATGCCTTGTAGAATTCCAGTGGGAGGCCATCCTCTCCGGGGGCCTTACCTTTTGCCATGGTATGTAGAGTATGGGTCAGTTCCTCTGCTGTTAGCGGTCTGTCCAGTTCGTTCTGAGCCTCGCCTGACAGTGCCGACCCCAGACTATCCCATACATCAGAGTGTTCAGCCAGGTTAGTACAGGGGTCCTCAAATCTAGATCTTGAGGTCAGGATGTCGCTGAAATAGGCCGCTGCGTAGTTGCACAGAGCCTCGTTGCTGTTGGCCAAAGGCATTCCATTGAGATGAGGGTGACACAGCTCTTTCATCTGAACCGTTCGCCTCTTCGGCAGCAACCTTTGAAAAGTTTCCTTCGTCATACAGTCGCCGGTGACGATCTTCTTTTCTGCCAAGATCTGCTCCCACCTGATTTGTTTGGCCTGTTGAATCTTATCCCATTCCTGCAATCTTGCCGCCCTTTCCTCCGTCCATGCCACTTCTGAAATCGGGTGCGAGTTGATGCGCTGTTCTGCTTCATCTACCCTCCGCTTGCAGTCCTGTTCTTCCATATTCCTTAGATATGCCGCTATGGAGGAGAAAGTCTCCATTTTATTCGAGATTATGCGAAGACCCACTTCCAACCACTCCCCTCTTGTTTCAAAACTCTGCTTCGCCTCCTCCCAATCTTTCCAAAACTGCTCAACCCACCCGCACACACCCTCGTCTTCCAGCATCTGTGTATTCAAGCGGAAACACTCGGGGCCTCTCTCACCCTGTGAGTCTGAGTGGACTGACATCAAAACCGGCTTGTGATCAGATAAGTCTGCATTCTGTTCATTAATCTGGATCACATTTGAAGCCAAGCTTTCAGCCACTAAAAAGAAGTCCAATCTCCGTGTAGCTCCTGCAGCTTGCGGGGGTCTCCCGGACCAGGTGAACCCAGGCTGCAACGGATTAACGGTTCTGTACACGTCCTGCAGATTCCACCTCTGCATCCATGTGAGCAGGGTCCGTTTGTCTCTTTGTATAGGATCCGCTCTCTCTGAGTCTAAACCAGTGGAACATACCATATTTCAATCACCTTCAATGATAAGGTGATCGGATTTCAGAATCTTCCTGGAGAGTAGCTCAATAAACTCGATTCTGTCCAGAGGGTCGTTCGGAGCGTACACTGTGGCTATCACCCACTCCTCCTCCCCAACTGTGACCTTAACCCAGCTCCAACGCCCCCATAGGTCGTTGTCACAGTCTATCACTTTAGCACCTACCCCGTTGTGTATCAATATAGCCACTCTCCCTAAACTGCCCCGAGCTGGTGACCACAACTGTGTCCCTGACCACCAATCTCTCAATTGCGCTAGCTCTGACAACTTGGTTTCCTGGATCAGCAAGATGTCAATGCCTTTTTCGTGCGCCCAAGTCTTCAAACGACGACCTTTGTGTTTTCCCGCTGTGTCCCCCAGGCCTTGGACATTCCAAGTAGCAAACTTAATTCTCCCCATAGGGTGCCGGGTAAAGGGCTACTTGTTGGATCTGCCATGGTGTCAGAGGAATTTTCGGCCATTTGCTACTTAGCACCTCTGCAAAGTATGCTGATGTGAGATTCCTTCTCTTTGGTAGCTCCCCATTCAGGCGTTGCAGCAATGTCGTTGTCATGCCTGGTTCAACTGCAATAGCTTCCAACTCCCCATTTGGATCTGAGAGGAATAAACGCAACGGGATGCCAATCAAATTCACCGAACCAATGTTCATCCACAGATCTGGAGGAATGCGAGCATCAACCAGTGGAACTGCATATCTTGCTTTGTCTCCCCCTGGTAGGTCCACTTGGAAGCGTGTGATTGGATCTTCGGGAAACAGTCTAAAGCAGAATCGTTCTGCGAACAGTTGGCGAACCTTCATATTGATGAATTGCGGAGATGAGATTTCAAGAATGTTGCTGGCCGGCATGACATGTCCCCCCTCTTCTGTTCTTATGCACAAGACGAAAATTTCCTGACCTTGCAGCGTGCATACAAACGGGAGGATTAAGTTGTCCTCCATCGCTTGATCCTCTCTCGACCGAACTAGTGCACCATCTTGGATATCTCTCGGGGATTCTACATCCTCAACCTCTATCTCTTTTTCCTCCCCGATCCCTCCTTCAGTCCCATGTTCTCCTCCTTTCGCTCTCCAGTCCCGCCTCCCTATTCTGTCATCTGCTCTCCGAATCCCGTCACCTCTCAGACGTCTACCTTGCTGGTCCCTCCGCTCCGTGCCAGTCCTTCCGTTGGCCACTTCTTGTTCAGGGACTATTGCTAGTTCCCTAGAGCTTGCTTCCTCTCTGTGTTGCCCTGCTTCCCTATCCTGTAGTGACAGGCGTCGTCGTAACAGTTCGTCCGCCATAATTTTCGCCACCTCAAGCACTGATGGTTGCCATTGCTGGTTCCCTCCCATAAACCGCTCTCCCAAGCCACAATGTGCTTCTTGCAAATGGGAGTTATGGCTTGGTTGAAAAATCCTTGCATGCCCTGTGCCTGGTTGTCCAGGCGGAGGCGCCCACGCTTGGCTCGACGTTCCACCGATTTGTTGATGCAATGAACCTGGCCTTCCAGTGTTTCCTGAAAGGCCGGGACGTGGCTGAGCTTGATGCCCAGAAGCTGCCCGAAGTGACGATTCCGCCACAGTTTGGTGCGAAATTACCTCCAGATCTCTAACCGCCTCCCTGATTCCTCCAGTAACACTTGCGTTCAGGTCCAGCCAAGCCTGTCTTCTTCCTTGGTCGTTCCTTGCTGAAAAATTATCTGCCATCCCTTGGTCTTCTGCTTGGTCTCCCGGTTGTTGTCTCAACCGTGGACAGCCGTCCGTGGCGGTATGGTTCCACCACCTGCATCGGTCGCAATATGGCGTATGTTTACATACGAATTCGAAGTTGATATTTTCTCCGTCGTCTAACCGTACGTGGAGCAGTGGCTCAAATGCACCTTCCGCTTCCGGGACGAGTTCAAACTTCATATTCATTAGTTTAGGCCTTGTCGCGTCTGGTTGTGGGGGAATCGTGTTAATGATTCTCCCCATGCTCTGTTCCACCATGTCGGCTATAGGAAACATTGCTCGTAGGGGGACTCGTAGGGCCATCACCCAAAATTTGGAGGAGTCTTCCAAACGCCTGCGTTCTTCAAGCTCCAAGCGGGTCATCCATGGCTTGAACAATCCATGGCTTGAACAACATCTTATACGCTACGCCTCTAATTATGACGTTGTCCTCTCCTTTGTTTATCATCCATTGAGCCACCTTCCGAGACATGGCCACGTAGGACATTACATTCGAACCTTCTGAGTGTGTTCGGCCCCTCTTTGGAGTTCTACTGAATGCACGTGTCCTTGACCAGCCATTCTCGTAAGCCCTCACCAAATCCTCTTGAACCTTCAACGGTAGAGATCTCGCCTCCCCTTGGAAGATGATCGTGACAGTCCTCTCTTTTAACCACGTTGTTTACTCTCCCACTTGCTTGTCTATTGCGAAAATTATAACTCCATTCTCGTAAATGAATTTACCTTGCCTTAGCCTCTCAAGGAATATCCCCTCTTCGTAGCACTTCGCAATTAGAAACTTCACCCGATCTTCCTCCGAAATCGGGATTTCGCCCTGTGGTGGTGGAGAGCGATCCTCCCCCCGTTTGGCGCTTCCTTCCATCTCGTTAAGTTGGCTCGATCCTTCCAAAACCCCTCCGCTAATCTCCTGTAGAATAGTGCCAATGAGCTGCTTCTCTCTCCGCTTATGCTGGAGCCTTGCTGCAAATCCAAGTTCCACACCTAACGAGCATAAACACTTGCATCTTCCTTTCCACGTAGACAGAGGCGTCGCCTACGTCGAGCCGCTTCCTGGACTAATATCAAGCTTTACCTCTGAACGGCGGGCGCCCTCGGCGCTCGCCCTTGCATATAGTTCTTGATCACCTCACAACAAACGCACCGTTCGTAACTCCTGATACTTCCCAGGGCTGGCGCAACCCGACACAGCCTCCCTCTTACAAGGTTGCTCGGCAACTACCGAGCGAGACGCCTCGAGATTGTCGACGTTTCATCTTGGCGGTTTAGACCTCGGCCGGCCAGATCAGCTGCTACCGCTGAACACGCGAACTTAGAACGCAAAACCTACGTCAACCGCCGCGCTCCCCCAGGCCTCGAGTTCTCGTGTAGCGCTATTCCGTTCGCTAGCCCCGGGCGCTAACAGCGGTCAGAATTAGCGCAAGATTAGCGCTACCGGAGAACTCTCGCCCCCCACAACACGAAATTGAGTTTTGAATGAATGACTGTTGATTAAAAAAAAAAAAAAAAAAAAATCCTCTTTCCCCGTGTGGCATTGAGCAGAGACTGCCCCGTCGAAGAAGCTCGGTCCTGATGCTACCCGCTGACCCCTGGGGCGTGGTCCCACTAGCAAAGAGGATGGGATCGAATGCCTGAATCTGGACGAGTTTATGGAGATGTTCAGGAAATCGAGATCGAACTGCTTTTCTGCATATCTGCTTAAAACATATCCAGATTCAGGAGCTCGATCCTATCCTTTTTGCTAGTGGGACCTCGTCCCTGGCCGGTATGGCCCACGTGCTGTAGCAGGCACCGCAACTGCTGGTGGGTGGGTGCAGCTCCCACATGTTCCCTCATTGGAGGCTTGAGCACGGACGTGCCTGCTACGGGCTTCCCTGTAATAGTATAATGACAATAAAAAAGGTGTGAAAGGGCCGTCCTGTCCGTATTAAACCGCTAATTGAAAGGCCGCCCTAAAAAAAAAAAAAAAGGGTCATCCTGAGGCTGAAAGGCCGTCCTGGGACCATGTCCCACTAGCTCCGTTGAGCTAGGTCAACGTGGGGTTTTCGAGCCTGTGTGACTGTACGCGACAAGGAAGATGCTAGTCGTCCAATTCATCTAACGATCCGTTTCTAATAAAAAGGGCAATAGAGACCATCTTCGCTTTTTCTTACATAAAAAAACAAAAATAAATCCTTTCTCTCGAATACTACTACCCCTACCCTCGCCACTTTCCGTTGAACTAACTGTCTCCTTTTTTCGAGACAGCTAGTTCAACGACCCTCTTGTTCCCCCAAAAGGCGTTTTTCGAAAGAAATTGAACGAGCCTCCTTCTGCTTGCCATTTTTGGAGGGGATTCGGGCAACTCTTCATTTTCTGCTGTGGAAGTGCCCGTATGCCACTCCAATTGTGAAAAATGAAAAATGAGAACCATTGTATTCCTGCCATTTATAAATGCATTTCTCATTTGAAATTGAATTAAAATGATTTTTTTTGGCTGTCGCACGGTTGAGCTGCCTCAACTAAACGGTGCATATGGGACATGGTCCGTGTGCGGATTCGACAGGTAAGTAAAAAAAATAAAAAAAAATCCTACACGTAGTATTTTCTTCTACCATCGTCGTTTTTTCTTTCCACGTTTTTCTGACCGTTCTCCCTTTTTTCGTGCGTGGCATCGGTGCGCGTCAGCTCTGGCATCTTCCCGGCTGAGGCGCCGTGACGTGCAACCGTCTGACGTCAGTCTGTCCAAAGGGATCGCAGGTACCCCAACGTCAAGTGAAGTGAACGACTTTTTTTGTTGTTTTTATTAATAAAAATTTTGACCATGGGTGTCGCTCCACTACTCAGGAAATGCAGAAAAGACAAAACTCATGGCAATGTATCCGTCCTTGTTCTAGCTGAAGATTCACTCTCGTTTTGCACATTTTGAGAGTGGTGGAGCGAGGCCCCATTTCTCGATTTATGCGTGCGCGTGTCTTCTCTGTATTGTTCCCGAAGGACAACAGTTTTTGTTTTTGTTTTTCTTTTCTTACAAGAAAGAGGGCATCGCCACACCACACTCGAAAAAATGTGAAAAAGACAAAAATGTGGAGGGTGCATCAGACCATGATCTAGAGGAAAGTTCGTTCTCGTTTTGCACATTTCTAGAGTGGTGTGGCCATGCCCAGAGTCAGCTCATTTGATTGCTCACTCCAAAAGATGGTTGGTGTTCCCCCATACTATATATAGAATAGTGAGAGGATGAGATAGATGCGTACAATGAAGAAAAATGAGATAGATGAGAGAAGAATATAGCTTACCTTTAAAAAAAAAAAAAAAAAGAGAGGCCGGGGGCCAGGTCCCACTACTATTCGTGCTACCCTTCTTCCCCTGTATATAACGGTACGGTCATTATGGTTGTATCTACACTGAAAGGTCCCTCAAATACAGACAGATATAATGACCGTACGTTGTATTCGGGGAAAGAAGGGTAGCATTCAGAATAGTATAGGGATGAGGACCGTTCTTGTGTGTGAGACGCTTTTGATCCTCAGAGAGCAAAGCGATGGGTGCAATAGTAGGACGGTATACCTTTCTCACACCTTTTTTTTTTTTTTTTTTTTTTTTTTTTTTTTTTTT